CCCTGTAGTGAAAGCAGTGGTTTCCATTGAGTCCCAGTTGGTTAATCCGCGATATGTGACTGGCTCGACACTGATTAACACAAACTACAGCATAAGCCGCAGGCGTACCTGACAATCACGTCGAGCTAACAATACAAGAAATGCTGTAAAGAATTCTAATAATTGTTGAAATCGCGTTTCATAGGTCATTATCGCTGAAAAACATTGTCCGCATAGGGAGTTTACGAGTCCGTTGGTAGTTAACATGGGATCAACGATGCCAGCGGTGAGTTGTTTACACGAAATTACAGTGGATGTCATTTTTATTCCATTGAACATGGATGTACTGTTGAATGAACGTAGTGAACATCCCAAGGGACCTACTCTAACCTCTTAATGGATTCAATAGAATATGTTGCTAGGGAAGTAATACCTGACAGACAGACAGACAGACAGGTTTATTTCATAAAAGTGGCCATGAGGCCAATAGTACAAAATGACAACTTAGATTAAACTTTTTCAGAGCGCATGGACATGATTTATTTCACAAAAATTGCTAGACGGAGTATTATATTATGGTTTTTAGTATTTAGAAGATGTATAAATTTTGTTTATTTGGGCTTATAATATAGGTACTTGGTATGTAGTGAGTTCTTACTGCTGCATATAAAGGACATTTCATTAACACATGATACTCATCTTCTGGTACACATCTACAATAATCGCACATAGCTACACTAATGTCATTGTCTTTAGATCTTCTATACGAAACTATTTTCAAATTGGTGGAGCCGCATCTGAATTTTGTTAAGACTCTGCGCAGATGTAACGAAGAGAGTGCAATCAAATACAATTCCGGAACAATATCGGATTTAAAGGCAGAAAACATATATAATGATTTTGAGTTTCTTATATCTTGTGTCCATTCTTGGTAGTACATGTCTTTACAACGTTGTTTGAAAAGATTTAAAAACAATTGCCAGTTTCCAACATTTTGATATATCCATACATAAGCAAAGCCATGTTGAAATAATATTGATCGTACTGCCGAAGCCCAGTTAATATCTCCATTGTCGTCTAGACGCTTCAACATATCATACGAGCGACGTGAGTAACGTGTGTCTGGTTGCCGAAGCAGACGTATCCAGAACGAAACAACTCGTGTCATATAATTCACATGTAAAGGATACCTCCCACATTCGGCTAAAACTGCCTTGTTCGGTGTGCGATAGCCAACGGTTAGAACGTTTTTACAAATTTTGAATGTACTTTTTCTATTCCATGACGGATAACAGTTCTCCAAATTTCTGCTCCATATAATAACATTGGTTGGACTTTACAGTCAAAAATTTTGAAAAATATATCGGGCGGAATTGTTTTATGAATCTGTACATGAATTGCTTTGCTTACACAAAACACCACAAGCTATTGTGAATACATTTCTACAGGATAACGTTAATCATAGTTTCTAGTTTCTCTGTTTTCCATTTTTCTCTTCTGCTATTCTACCACCTTTTTAAAAACTATGACCTTTGTCTTATTTGTATTATTTGACAATCCCCATTTCGTACAATACTGTTCCAAGATATCAATCTTTTCTTTAACAAAAAAGCGACATCATCCGCAAACAGAAGAATTGATTTTATAGTCCACGTTTTTCCTTATGTACTTGTGGATAATCAAATTTAGAACAAATATTTGGTCAATAGTACTGTAGTCTTCTCTAAACCCTGCTTGCGAGCTCGGAGATGATATCCTGTGTTTTTTCCTTATGAAGCCCAAATAGTTTTATACCTGTATCTTCTCTAAATACTTGTGAATGATATCCTTGTTGAAGCCCAAAGTTTTATACGTGTATCCAAAATACTTGTGAATACTTTGCTAATTATGTCAAGTAGAACAATACCCCTGTAGTTATTGGGATCCTCTCTATCCCCAGCTTTATGTAACGGAACGATAAGACCAAGGTTCCAAGAGTCTGGAAAATTACCAGTGTTGAGAATCTCGTTGAAAAGACGTTTGTAGAAAGGTAATAGTATCAAACAAGTTTCCTTAATGGCCTCCGTCGGAATACCATCAGCCCCATCACCATTTTTCAGATTCTGAACTGCATTCAAGATTTCATCATTTGAGATCTCGTCACCCAAGAAATCGTCACAGTCTCTACACTGTTCACAATTAACAACATCATGGTTTTTAAGAAATGTTCGTACATGTATAATATCAAACTGTGTGCAATCTGTTTGAGGGTCAAAGAGGTTATTAAAGTGTTTGTACCAGTTATCTGGGGTGATGTTTGTATGTATACCAATGGTGTTACAATACATCTTGATTGACTTCCAGAACTCTTTGCATGATTTACCTTTTGCTGCGTTTACAATTTCCTCCGCTATATTGTTTTCAAAAGTAGTGTGTTTCTGTTTACATAGGGCTTTAAATTCTTTTTTAGCATCGAGGTATTGCTTGCAATGTGCGGGGTCGTTTGTAACTCTAAATGTATCAAGGAGTGCATATTTATGTCGTTTCGATCTCTCACAGTCTTCATCAAACCATCTGGGCTGGTTGTTACTTCTGTTTGGTGTTGATTGTAAATGCTGTGTAATAACATTTTTGTCGGCATGTGTAAAACAATATCTAACAAAGTCTGAATGGATTCTACACTATCATGTAAACTATCATCAATTGTTGGGAGAAATAAGTAAGGGATTGCTTTAATATATCGGAGAACTTACCCCTACGTTCTGTTCGCCACGTGTACCTGTGTATCTGATGAGCGGTGTGACGCTGAGTGCATGCTGCACGCGCTAGTGTAGGGTCACGTGGTCTTGTCATGTCAACAGCCAGTGGGAGGTGATCCGAGTCCATTTTGGTTAGTATTTTGAAATTAATAAAATGATGATATATTTCTGTAGGTACAATACAGTAGTCAACCACGCTATTTCCTTGACTGCCTATGAACGTATAATGACCTTGTTTATAGCAAAACCTGATCTCCCATTTAGAACATGTATTTTCATATTTCTACACATATCTAGAAGTTGTTCCCCCTGAGTGTTAACAACATCGTCTCGTGAATTTCGTAATATATCAAAACTGTCAGAGTCATAATCCTGTGCATCAATTGGAAGATAAGAAACATTATCATTTTCGATAAAGCACTTCTCAGTACCAATACGAGAGTTCATATCACCGAAAAGTGTAAATATAGCTGTAGGGTATCTCTAATAAGACAAAGTAACTTGTCCTCTAAATGTTCAATACCCGTACAATCACAAGGGTTAGCTGCTGTATCTTGCACGTACACAAAGCCAAGGATGTTACGCTGGGTGGGTACATCAGTCAGGAAGAAGACGCAGTAATACCGTACTGTTATGTTGTGATGCATTTTAGAGATCTTGGCCTAGATTTTCGAAGCTCTCTTAGCGCTAAGATAGTCGTAAGTGCCATACATTAACACTAACTTACGACTATCTTAGCGCTAAGAGAGCTTCGAAAATCTAGGCCCTGGTAAACTAGAGCAATATATACTCATGCCAATCATGGTTGTCATCCCCTACCCACCCCAACCACCCACACACCTCACACCCCACCCCACACCCTCTCAATTAAAAAATTGAAGGGGGTGACAACCATTATTGGCATGAGTATATTTGAATTTCAATTATCGACTTTGCGGTTCCTCACAAGAAACATCGGTTCCTATGAAACACATACATATGGTTAGGAAAACATCTGCCTTTTCTATGTTGTGAAAAATGCTTATTGTGCTGTACGGGGTCAACACCGTTTTACTTTTAATTGTGATAATTTGGTAGCATTAATGTTAAGAGAGAAAGACTCCCAGGCAAAAGGTAGTATACTCCAATGTTGACGTTTTTATTTTCATTTGTGCAATTGTACATTATGTTTAGCACTATCTATGTGTACTAACCAGCCGTTTCAACACATTACCTGGAGAGGTATTTACATAAGCAAGTTTGAACCAAATTTGATGGTGCCTGAGAATGAGACAAGCGCGATATAGTTGTTTCATGGCGATGTATTTAATACGAGTGACATGGCTGTGTTTGGCTCTTCAGTTTTCTGTCTAGTAACGTTTTTGTAAAATGAGTTGTGCTTATCTTACCCAACAGCCAAGTGCACAGTTTATTTGCCCAGGAATTCACAAGTAAAATATATAATCACCATAAACGTCCTGTCACACATTCTTTTCGCACTGTTATAGCCAACTCCTTCATGGCCGGCTATGGTGTATAATGGAATAGCTATAGCTAATCTATAAATGGTGCCCGCGTGGTGTATGACCTCCGCCCGGAGAGCGGAAGGTCGTGTCGTTACAACCTCGTGTGTCGTTACAGTCAGTGTCCTGGTATCACGTGGATTATCTATGTGCACTAACATTACTGTACATGAACACAGGACAACACAGCAGCTATAACCGCAGGGCCTTTCCACAAATATTTCAAACAGCGTCATACGCCTCCCTTACTGATGCTTCAGACGGTTGTATGGCAATCGCGCCGAGAATTTTCAAAATTTCACACATCAGTGATAAAATGATTCTTAAGATAAATTCAGCATGCATGTACATGCACGTACTAAATATAACATGCATTAATCAGTATTCTATTTACGTATACGCCCATGCATTAAATTAGCGTGTTACACGATTACAATTATTATTATAATTATGTGTGACACGAATTGACATGAACGTACATCGCAGTAGGCAATAAAGTAAATTTGTTTACATGCATTTATCCACCTTTACGTAATATGTGTTTAGGAGCTCAATTTAGGCACCCTTACACTGATGCAAAGGTATATACACTTTACATATAGTACACATTATTGTATACGTAATTCAATGCAAATAAGCCGATTCGGTTCGTATATGTAGCAGAGTATGTATCCATGTGTATGACCTCCGCGCGCATGTTTACACAATGAGAGTACAAATCACACACAGTGAGATATGTCAGGACGGGGATACAAAACATGAGGGACAAGGGGGTAGATAAAGGTTTAGATCACGTGGGGTAGATTTGGGTAGGGTGTTTGAGGTCAGTTGTTGTGGGACGCACACCAGCCTGGGACGAGACAGACACCATGTCGACTTTAGAGTCAGCGAATGAGGTTAGTTCACTGTGGCAATATGCAGAGTCTGTTTCAGACCAGAGGCTGATTGTCATGTAGATGCAGTTTTGACACATATAATGGTAGTTTAACGAATACTTGCACTCTGATTGTCTCATATCTGTCATGATCAATTGGGCTTAACGTCAACGAGTTAGGACAATAGATATTCTGAAGGACAAAACATTCTTACCAAAAATAATTGATCAGTACCATGCTTTTGTAAAGGGCAACCCGTGAAGATCCGGGATAGATATGTACTTCTGTAACCTATGCTTGTCGTAAGATGCGACTAACGGGATCGGGTGGTCAGACTCGCTGACTTGGTTGACACATGTCATCGGTTCCCAGTTGCGTAGAATGATGCTCATGCTGTTGATCACTGGATTATCTGGTCCAAACTCGTTTATTTACAGACCGACGCCATATAGCTTGAATATTGCCAAGTGCAGCGTTAAATAACAAACCAATCTTAAAGGGCAGGACAACACCTTTCAGTGATCCATTCGTGTACCTTTCACGCCGTTGGCCAAATGGTATCTTTTTAGCAGATAATCGAGTCTGGCGTTAAGGTTTGAAATTAACATCCATACTCGACATGGTATAATGTTATAGAGTATCAGAGAGTCCATTCCACAGCATCAATGTACTAATATTTTAGGAATGTTACTATTCACAAATGCACCGGTGGATCGCTGGCAAGCTTTGCACTATACGATACACGATTCATTTGTTTTAGTATCGATTCATATTTGACATATTATCTTGATGTCGCACCGATATTTCATATAAACCATTTTTGTTAAAACAAACAGAGCATTATTAAAAGCGAACTTAACACATTTTTCTCTTGTAATTTTGTTATGCAGAACATCAAATGTGACTAGACTTGGTGACTTGTTGATGGATACTTGACTGACACTCAATTTCCCTTTAATGGCAATCTCTACCAAAATATTTGGTGACTGGTGAGCTATGGTATGAGCTTGCCAAGCAGGCACTGGCTGCTCGTTACGCTCAAAATGTCGGAAATGTAGTGACCTCAGTTTCGAGGTACGTATCGTGACCACAGTTTGGACATACGTATCGTGACCTCAGTTTGGACATACGTATCGTGACCTCAGTTTCGAGATACGTGTCGTGACCACAGTTTCGACATACGTATCGTGACCACAGTTTCGACATACGTATCGTGACCTCAGTTTCGAGATACGTATCGTGACCACAGTTTCGACATACGTATCGTGACCACAGTTTCGACATACGTATCGTGACCTCAGTTTGGACATACGTATCGTGACCTCAGTTTGGACATACATATCGTGACCTCAGTTTCGAGATACGTATCGTGGCCACGGTTTCGACATACGTATCGTGACCTCAGTTTCGAAATACGTATAGTGACCACTGCTTCGACATACCTATCGTGACCACAGTTTCGACATACGTATCGTGACCTCAGTTTCGACATACGTATCGTGACCTCAGTTTCGACATACGTATCGTGACCTCAGTTTCGACATACGTATCATGACCACAGTTTCGACATACGTATCGTGACTTCAGTTTCGACATACGTATCGTGACCTCAGTTTCGACATACGTATCGTATCGTGAGGCACCTGTATCGTCACACCCCTATAATATTTACAAGAGTCCGCTATAGCTGAATCAGCTATAATGCGTGCTACACGTGCAATATAGGCATTTTCTAAAGGAGAATAAGTAGAAGCAATACTGTTAATTGAAACAAAAATACCGTAATGAACGATTAGTACAGGGACTTCACGCGGCGTGGTCGTTCAGGTTGATGCTGTGATCACCATGCTATTTGTCGTCGTTTCGCGGATGTAAGTTTCTTTACCGTGCATGCAGAAATACTTCACAGGTGATGTCATCGAGACAAAGCGATTTAAACGATGTGCTTTAATACTACACCCCAGAAATATGCGACAAAACAAGCACATTAGGTTTGTTTTCTTTACCGACCAACTGTGACTCAATTTGCCGTATATATTGAAGCTCTGGACTAGGCGACCAAACGGAGTAATGAAATTAATCACATGAACAAGTATATGTTAAAGCCAGCTGCAGATGGCTGACTTTGTGTGCTGACGATTAGGTGCCAGACTATGAGAGTGTGGGTTCGAATCCCGCATGGTACTCAATCCATCAAAAGTACTAGAATCTGTACTTTATTGAGAAAGTGTAATCCCAAGCATAACATATATTTCGTTTATTACAAAGTTAAACCATGTAAGTATACACTCTCTAACTTTCACGATTGTATGCCCAATAAAATGACCGCACAAGATCTTGGTCGCTTACATATTAAGTATATGTACGAGCGTATTTAACCCGTGAAGATCCGGGTTAGAATTGGTCTTCAGCAACCCATGCTTGTCGTTAGAGGCGACTGACGGGATCGGCTGGTCAGACTCGCTGACTTGGTTGACACATGTTATTGTATTCCATTTGCGTAGATCGATGCTCATGATGTTGATCACTTTATTGTCTGGTCAAGACTCGTTTATTTACAAACCGCCGCCATATAGCTAGAATGCTGCTGAGTGCGGCGTTAAACAACAATCAAACAAGAACGTATTTTTATGGATGGACAAGTTATTTTTGCAATGGATGCGACGTTTTTTTTTGATTTGCCTACACCGAAACGTAACAACCATTGCAATAAATTAAGAACTTGTCTATCCATAAAAAAAAATCATCTGGGGCGGTGGAGTAGCCTAATGGTTAAAGCGTACGCTCGTCACGCCGAAGATCCGGGTTCGATTCCCCACATGGGTACAATGTGTGAAACCCGTTTCTGGTGTCCCCCGTCGTGATATTGCTGGAATATTGCTAAAAGCGGCGTAAAACTAAACTCACTCACTCACTCATACCACCTTCTAAACAATCACGCCAAATAAACAAAATAGGCGATCAAATGCAGTAATGAAATTAATCAAATGAATACGTATTTAATTTTTTTTAAAAGTCAGTCGCAGCTGCAAAACATCAAACAATTTCAAAGTCAGACCATGTAAATTTACAGTCTCTGATCTTCAGGACTGTATGCCGCACAAGCTCCTGGTCGCTTATAATTACATATTCCAGTGTATGTATAATACAAGCGGAATACAAACCCGTGTCCTAGATACATCTTTTAAAAGCTTGTCAAACACGACCTGCGGTAGACAGTTGTATGTCTTATCAATACGCTCACACTAAGATGTTTTCAGCGTTGCAAGTAACACGCTAAGCTTGTTTGACAAGCCGTGTTGACTTAAGCTGTTATACCTACACAACACAAACAATACATTGAGGCGACTGTGTTTTGAAGACAGGGCGTTGTGATGTTTACCGGGTATATCGACATATATCCAGCTTAAGTCGATATACCGCAGTTCACACCATAACCAGTGTATAGCTGACTGTGAAGATTTCCAGAACGTATTCTACGTTGAGGCCAGTGTTATGTGAAACAGCGTGGTATCGACTAGTGTGTAAATACGTGTTTCTCCGTTGTTGTTTATATGATTCCCACTGGCACTCACACGGAGTGCTTTTGTCACAATGACCATTGTCTTGCCACATAGAACTATAAGATAAAACAATTGAACGAAATGCAATCGACGTATATGAGAAATTATACATAAGCTTTCGGTTCATTCACGCCACGCTGTAAGAAGATCTATATTATCAATATCAATCTGCAATTCCTATATCAACAGGACCTTAACCTTCTTTACGAAATATGTTGCAAACATCTTAACTTTAGGTAACTGGTTAAATAAATTGGGTCACTTTCTTTTTCAAGCAGGGACGGTGGCGTAGCCTAGTTGTTAAAGCGTTCGCTCGTCACGCTGAAGGCCCGGGTTCGATTCCCCACATGCGGGTATAAGCCCATTTCTGGTGTCCCCCGCCATGATAGTGCTGGAATGCTGCTAAAAGCGGCGTAAAACCCAATTCACTTACTCGCTTTTTGTAACAAAACTGATTAATCCTTAGGCCTCAAATGCAAATAAAACTTGTCACTTGTCACTTGATTAATCCTTAATCTGTTTTAATGTGATTCTGCCAGCGACAGGGTAACAAGTTCGCTAAAGATGTACTTTACAGATATGAAACACCAAGCTGTATACGGGTACAATTACTGAAATCTTCTGGAACATGTAAAAGGATAAAACGAAAAAATGTATTCACTCACTCATTCTCTAACCACGATGATATATCATTCCTGTTGCCACTGTACTGACTCGGTTATAGTCCAGGCTCGCTTTGATTACGTTACGGGGCGGTGGGGGTAGCCTAGTGGTTGAAGCGTCCGCTCGTCACGCTGAAGACCCGGGTCCGATTCCTCACAGAGGTACAATGTGTGAAGCCCATTTCTGGTGTCCCCAGCGGTGATATTGCTGGAATATTGCTAAAACCGGCGTAAAACCATACTCACTCGTCACTTTGATTAGGTTACAATATTCCAGGCCTCATCTACATTTAAAAGGTGGTATGTAGGGCACATCATTGTGGTTAAGCTGTTTGTTTATTCTCAGAAAACCCCTCCAACGGTGGTACATGAGATGACAGTTTCAAATTAGACCCATAAGTAAATGGTACCCGGTGCAATTCCGTTGTATGTTTCCATGGATATCAAACAATTGACTTGCCGTTGCGTGTGTTTATGACACGAATGAAACAGTTTTTATCGCTTTGGCTTTGCTTTTATTACATGTCAGCCCGACGCTAAAGCTGACGCAGTTTGCCAACGCTATGCGTCTCATTGGGCTGCCATCACACACACAAGCGTATCTTACGTCAATTTGGACTTTCGTAAGAAATCTTACGAGCGGTAATTAACTGAATCACTATTCAAAGCAGCGTCAAAACTCCCTCACGACTCTGACGGCTAGTATGGATAATAATAATAGTAATAATGAGAATATTTATAACGCGCCTTTTCCAGGCTAGATATCCTGCTCAAAGCGCACAATCTGATCATTATTACTCTGGATAACCCAAGCTGCCTGTTAGGCGCTAGAAGGCTAATAGTCTCACGACTTATTTCACCGGGTACCCATTTTCTGCTGGGTGAACAGAGAATGGTGGATCTCAGGTGTTATCGACAGGGCACTACGTGATTAACCTTTTCGCGAACACCTAGGTCCAATTACACCAAGCAATCTTAGTGCTAAGACTATTCTAAGTTAATGCTAAATTGTTGTAGTCCTTAGTTCTCCTAGTGCTAAGATTCCCTTTGCACGTAATGGGGTATTCGGGACTGGTTATCTCTGTCATTGACGTTTTTGACGATTTGACCTAAAGAATTTCTTTGTGTTTCTCCAGGTAGAGATGGACAAAACAGGGATCTATATCGTCTCCCATAAACCCCTTGAATCCGACACCGGAATCAGGAAGAGGGACGACCCAGTGAGCTACGACAATCCAGGCTTTAATTCAGACAACGGTCTCAAACTTAAGAATGAACACATCTATGACCGACCGACCGGCGTTTCGGACGCCCCCTACCGGGGGATGGGTAAAGAAGATCTTCTACGCCATTCATCCAAGCCTCTATGGCGCCGTCTGAGGTACGTCTGCATGTCAATCATTCTGATTGGGTGGCTGGCCCTCATCATCACCGTTGTCGCCCTCGTCCTCATCTACCCACGGTGTCGCGCACCACGACAGCATGAATGGTGGCAGAAGACCGTGGTATACAGGATCTACGTCCGCAGCTTCCAGGACTCCGACGCCGACGGTATTGGAGACCTCAAGGGTAGGCGTTCATGTTTCAAATGTTTTGTTATGTTTCTTTTTCTGTCTCTCCACTCTTTCAACTCTCGCTTCTCTCTTGAGCTTCACTCTCTCTCTCACGCTTTTGTCCCCCTCTTTTTCGTGTCTCCAATTCACTATCAAAGTATGCGTGTACTTATAACGTATATTATTAACTACATAAATACGCAAAGAAATACTATTACTGCTAACCCGTGAAGATCCGGGTTAGAATTGATCTTCAGTAACCCTTGCTTGTCGTTAGACGCGACTAACGGGATCGGGTGGTCAGGCTCACTGACTTGGTTGACACATGTCATCGGTTCCCAATTGCTTAGATCGATGCTCATGATATTGTCCATAGGATTGTCTGGTCCAGACTCGATTATTCACGCTATATAACTGGAATCCTGCCGAGTGCGGCGATAAACAACATCCAAACAACCATCTATGACTGCTTCAGTATGTTGTCAACTGATCTGCGCGTATTTCATTAAGCGTCATGAGAATAATATTCTTTTTTGAAAAAGATATATTTAGCTATTTCTTAAGTAAGTAAATCTGAAAATTTCGACACTTTCTCTCACTAATGATTTTTTAACATAATAAAATATTTTAAAATAAACCTATAGACTAAAGATACATCTACTGACTGACACGTAACAATCCTTCTGTTGTACCCACAGGGATCACCCAGCGCCTCGACTACCTGTCAGAACTGGGGGTCGGGACCATCTCCTTGTCTCCCGTCTTCAAAACAGTGCCTAACGCAAACACCGATTTTGACGTCACAGACCACAAAGCCATTGCTAGTGAATATGGCACACTAACCGACTTCGAGAGTCTCCTAAACGAGACACACAGCAGGGGTATGCCTACTTGTCCTCACTACTTACTAAACATTCCACACAAATGTTCTAGATCTTTCGCGGATCATCCTCTAAAATTTTGTAAACCCGATGTCCTCTTAAAGTGACGTACAAAAGAAAGTGCACGCCAGTTGTTTTAGTATTATGTTAAAAAAGAAACAATTGTTTTGATTTCGACTTACAGGTCACAAACATTGTGTACATGTTTGAACTTTCTTTAGTACGTCAGGTTAATGCAAACATATTGGACGAATGTTTTATTATGTAAAATACTATCATGTATGTATACTACCCAACAAAAGTTTAGACTCACCTAAAGCACTCACTATATGTTATGTATGTATGTGTGTGTGTATATGTAAGGGTATATATATATATATATATATATATATATTGTACTTTTTCATTGTATAAATACAAACAGAATGTTTATTTGTTGTTTGTGGACTCCAACATGTTTCGTTCTTTACTCTTCAGGGAGATCTCCTGAAGAGTAAAGAACGAAACATGCAGCATTGGAGAAAAACAAAAAAGATCGTCTCTATTAAGGCATTTTGATATTCTGTTTTTATTTATCTATGCAATATTTAAATATTGTTTCTTGTATGACTAACACCTGTACTACTTTGGACATTTTGAGCGTATATATATATATATATATATATATATGTGTGTGTGTGTGTGTGTGTATGTGTATGTATATATGTGTGTATATATATATATGCGTGCGTGTGTGCGTGTGTGTGTGTGTGTGTGTGTGTGTGTGTGTGGTTACATCGGAGATGAATTTCTGCACTAACTTTGGGGAACCAACAGCAAACTTTATGCAGATGAATTGTACGAGGTTCATGCGTCAACTTGCTAAAACGCATGTGCAAATATCGTTCATGTGAACAGCTTTTTTGTTTGTATGTATAAAATGTATTACCATCCTATTATACAGGGAAAGTCCCTCTGCGTTTAAAAGCCAGTTCCCTCCCTCCCTTACTTTACGAGGTTGTGGTAATCAGGCCCACCCGATATCCTTATATACCACAAGTCAGTGTGCATTGGTCTAACCCTTCAACTGTAACCTTTGACCGCAGGGATGCAACTTATCCTGGACTTCATCCCCAACCTGACCAGCGACCAACACCCGTGGTTCCAGGAGAGTACAACGCCTCCAGCGCCAAGCGGAACTTCTATGTGTGGGAGAGTGACAAGCCCAACAACTGGGTAAGGATAATAGGCCTCGGAAATATAAGTAAACTATGGTTACACCGAACTCAAAGGGACGACTAATTTCAGTTCGTATTAACAGTAGTTCGTTATATGCATGTCGAATATACAGCAACTGACCGGAAATATCGTTATATCTGCCAGTGGATTATAATAGTAATTTACTGTACTTCCAAGTGAGTAAGTTTGGTTTTACGCCGCTTTTAGCAATATTCCAGCAATATCACGGCTTGGGACACCAGAAATGTGCACTGTACTTCAATATTGTATCGCTATTTATGAGTATCGTAAATGATGAGAGCTCCTTCTGCTCCATTGACTCATCATATGCATTAAAGATGCGGAAAATCTACCAATGTCAAACACCCGACTTGTTCAACTGATGACAAATGTTCTTAGACTATTTTATCCAGTATCCTCGCTAATGCAAAATGAGTTACCCCAAACATTCGCACAATACACCCAAGTCCTGTTTTCGATCCCTCTTCTTAGTTTCTTTTGAGTAGTATATGGGTTATGGTGTCCCTGGCCGCCGTGGTGTTGCTGTAGTTGTCGAAACGAATGAGTGAGTGAGTTAAGTTTTACGCCGCACTCAACAATATTCCACCTATGTAGCGGCGGTCTGTAAATATTCGAGTCTAGACCAGACAATCCAGTGATCCACACCATGAGCATCGATCTACGCAACTGGAATACAATAACATGTGTCAACCAAGTCAGCGAGCCTGACCACCCGATCCCATTAGTCGCCTTTTAAGACAAGCATGGGTTGCTGAAGACCAATTTTAACCCGGATCTTCACGTGTCAGTTATCGCTACGAACACCCTTGTGTTTTGTGAGACGAGTCTGACGGGATTGGATGGTCAGAGTGAATTTGTGTGTTGGTGCCACTGTATGACAGTACATACATAGATGCTCATGATGTCAATCACTGGAATATGTAGTCCAAAGTTGGTTATTCATAGAGCGCCGCCATAATATGGCAACAAGCGGCATTAAACAAAACAAATAATTTCTTATCAATTTTTAGTAAAAAATGGCTTTGATAATGACATTTTGTATCAATGTTCTGTTTTTGTTGCAGGTATCTGTGTATGGTAATTCGGCTTGGACAAATGATTCAACTCGAGGGGAGTACTACCTGCATCAGCTTCGTCCAGATCAACCTGACCTTAACCTTAGAAGTTCAGAGGTCAAGGACGAACTACAGGTGAGGCAATGTTGCCGTTTCCCGATAACATTGTAAATGTATAAAATACACCTACCACATATAGTGTATCTATGGCATATTTCTCAGTTGTCAGAAAAGATAAACGATTAAGTCGACCCAGACCGATAAGCAAGTGCGAAGCTGAGTAAGCAGATTTGTGAAGATTGCGCAAAACATAATATTATTTTACGGCCGCTTCAGGCAATCTTGCAATTTTGGCTCGAGAAGGGAGTTGATGGTTTCTACATCCGGGACAGTGGATACTTGTTTGAGGATTATGATCTGAGGAATGAAATGCCCTCTTCCGCCAACCTAACACAGAACCCGGTAAGTCTGACATCATTCGATGCTGTGTGGAACGAGTTGTCTCCCTTTGAGAAATACCTCCACAACATCAATATTAAAGGCACTATATCATACCACAGTTCTCTAAAAGTAATGCATTTCTCTCAATAATACCAACTATCAACCCTCAGAGAAGCTACCGTATATTGTATTCCCAAAACAATTACGTATTTAGATTACAGTATTAAATTAAAAAGATTGAATGAATTAATGCAACGTTGCGTTAAGTCGACTATCGCACCCTCTAACGGCCGAACATTATTTCAAGCGAACCCCACACAGTTATGTCCCTTGGAGCGCTCTTTATGAATAACTTGTGATTGAAACCAGTTCGGCAAACACAGACAACACCGCGTGCGACAGTTTTCGATGTACGCAGCAGTTGTTTATATTCCATATATGGCAATTGCAAGTGTTCTCTGTTCGTCTTTTCCTATAAGACTGTTTGTACTATTTGTACGAGCGTTCAGTGGCTCTGAAAACATACAATGTGACATCCATGCAAAGTTGAAACCTATTATTATTCTTCGCCTCTCGCTCAGTGTTCCCGAATGCATTTGTTCTCTGTCCAGGACGACTACAATTACTACAACCACACCTACACATACGGCCTGCGGGAAATCAACGACATGCTCGCCAGGTGGCGCTACTTCCTGGATGACTTTGGGAACAAAACTAACAAATACAGGTACCTTTATACGATTTGCTTCAAGGGGACAGAACATGCGTCCATGGATAAACTCTGTAATTGCCACTTCATCACCCCTGTGGGTAGAGTAGTGTTACATATTCGAGTTCAAAAGAAATCATAAAAACGTCCCAGTTAATAAATTTTCATTGTACTCAACTCCCGACGCGGTGAACGTATTGATCATATATTATAATGAACAACCCATAAGGCAAGGTGAGGTGAGATTGGGTTTAACGTCGTGATTGAGAATATTTCGCTCATATGACGACGTGCATGCGCGTGTATGTGTATGTGCCCAGACTGAAGTTGGTTTTATAGTGCTAGCCCACTGAGATACCATGCCGCAGTGAAGCATGAATACCCAACTCAGACACATTATACTGACTCCGAGCCGACCAGTCCTTGTTGTACCCATTAATGCCGAGCGCCAGGCAGGGACCAACAAGTACCATATTTTAACGTCTTTTGGTATGACGCGGTCGGGGATCGAACCCGCGACCTCCCGCTCTCCGGGCGGACGCTCTAACCACTACACCACAGAGGCGGTCCCCATAAGGCAAACTTACATTAACATCACAAGGGACAACGGTTCTCAGTGACAGCTGTATCCACCACTGTTATTTTTCCCAGAATGCTGTTTGCGGATATTATGGGCGGAACTGAGTTGACGATGAGTTACTATGGTTACTTCAACCGTGACGGTGTCGACTTCCCTCTTAACCGGTTCTGTCTGGATCTGAAACAAGGCGACAATGGAAACGTGGTGTCCGGAGTGGTCAGTCGTTGGATGGACAACCTTCCGGCCGGACGCTGGGCCAACTGGATGGTAGGTTCCGATTGTTGTGACGTTAACATGACGTTACCTGCGACGAAGTGTCATAATGACGCATGTGGCAAGGTAGTTATCATCATTATAGCTTTCCAAAAATGTTAAGGGGCGGTTCGCTCGTCACGCTGAAGACCCGGTTTGCGTTTAACATTAAAACCCATTCATACCCGAAACTCACGCATATGGAATATAGTAACGTCAATACAAATCCCATTTCCCTTTTGAAAATAACTAAAGGCAACTTTGAAGTTAATGTTTTGCCTTGGCGGAGTCAGAGGGTGGGGTGGGATGTACAGGGCTTCGGGCCTTTGACGTGACGAGCGAACGCTTAAGTACAAGGCTACCCCACCGCCCCGATAACCAAGATATTCGCGTTATTCCTACACAGTTATTGTTACCTGCGTTAAAAAGGACGCATATCAGTCACAAATGGTGGTCATCTTGACATTACACAATCATATTTCGTTTCTTTCAGGGTGGAGATGAAAATTCGAATCGTATTGCAGGCCGACTTGGCGGGAACATGACACGAGCTTTCCTCATGCTGTCCATGCTATTGCCAGGGACGCCATTCTATTACTATGGCGACGAGATCGGTATGGTGAATTCAGATGAAGCTCCAGACAATGCTTGGGGCATGAAGCAGCCAATGAGAGCTCCGATGAGGTGGGATAACTCGACCAACGGAGGATTCGCATCTAACTGTACAGGAGGATGCAATCCGTGGATGAAGGTCAACGACTTCACAGGCCAAAATGCAGTCGAGGTGAGTGATAGAGTTGGGATTAACACTGCTATATTCACTACTATAATCTCATTATAATCATATCTTTGACTTCATTCGATACCTCTTTGTGAAATTCTGAACAGATGAATCAGCCACTCTCGAATATGAGTGAGTGAAGCATTCAGGAAAGTTAATCATTTTTGGGTATCTTGAAAACGATTATAGCCGATGACCGAATGCAAAATGGTAACTTGTACTGTTGTGGCCCTACACCTGTCGTTTCTGAACGCCATTGCATTTACGTACTATCAAGGGTATGTTTATGTTCTGTTGACTTGTTTTAAAACTGAGATTAAAATGGTGACGTATGAGTTTAGAAAGCTGGTATCTAATTGGCTCAGCTCATCTTTTACAGGGGCGTAGCTACCATTATAAATAAATCCCGGGTTTACACATGATTGTTGCTAAAAATGTTGAGCAAGCCCTCAATACTATCTAAATATAAAACTTTGTTACCTATCAGGCTTACACGAGATAATATGGCTTGCTACGCACCTGTTTTAGGTTAAATTAGGTTGCGAGGGCTCATTTTGTTCAGATCTTGAACAGGGCTGACTTGCACAAAGCGATCTTAGTGCTATAATGATTGTAACTCCCTTTCTCCAACATAGGCTTAAGATAGGCGTAGCGCTAAAATCGCTTTGTGCAAGTGGGCCCTGGGTTGCCGTATTGTAGATAGATGATTTTAGTGAAATTGGTGTGGTAGAATGAATATGTGATTGTAGGTACAAGGGACGCAACTCTGCAAACACAATATTAAGCTACAGGTGGCTTGAGCAGGTTGGGACGGGTATACATGAGATGTTCAGAATTTGTTTTGGCACCATACATCTGTGATTATATTGCTCTTCATAGATCCAAAAGACGAGCAAGTCGTCGTTGATGCACCTGTTCAAGAATCTCACGAAGCTGCGAGACCAGGCGTCATTCGAATACGGAGACTACTTCCGCTCAGTCGTTGACAGCAGTGTGGTGTCATTCGTCAGAGAATACGACGGAGAGAAAGGGTAATGGCGTATAACCGATGCAGCGTTGATATCTAAATGTCATTAACTGTTCATGAACACGCACTAGAGGCCAATACTGGGTATCAAGTGTTCAACGACACGTAAGATTTATCAACATGTGTTACTTGTTCATTAACCTATAAGGTCCAAGAATAGGCACTATACTGACGGCCAAAAGAAAATATACACAAAAATCGGATTTGATGAAAACATTTGAAACCTTATCAGTGCGACGAAACACTGCGTACGTATAGTAAAAAAGCAGTTTTGTTCGTATTAAATACATCACCGTAACATAACTATATCTTCTTTGTTCCACTTTCTGACACATTGAAATATAGGTAAATGCTTTCTCTTGCCAGGGGTCATTTTGGTCGATGAATTTTCCAGAGTAACAACATCACCCATATGGACTGGCCTGCAAGGTCTCCTGACCTGAATCCTATTGAACATGCTTGGGACATCCTCGGAAGGCGTGTGTACGGCCTCCACGTTCGTCCTCAGACTCTGGATCAGCTTGAACAGGCATTGCGGAGAGATAGAACATCCACAAAGACTAGAAACTGTTGGTCGATGAATGTATATCATAGGTCCATGAGTTATTAAACTTTGATCAGTGCTCAAAACTACAGTAAAAGTGTTTTCAGATATACCCTGATGCAACACATTTTGCACGTTTTTCAGTAAATGATTTGACTTTATATCTGGTACCTTTGAATTGAAATAATAATATAAATGCACCCTTAAATACACCCTTTCGGCAGAATTGCAAATAGTAGTTTCCATTTTAATAAAAGCCATGATCAGTGCAACAACAGAGGGGGTTAGGGATAATTTTCAGCTTCTTGATTATTCAGCTTCTTAACTGTCATTTTACAATACTTTGAATAATTTCAGATTCCTCGTCGCCATTAACTTCGGCAGTGGAACGGAAACACGGAAATACACGGACACCCACGACACAATTCCGGAGGAAGCCGACGTTGAATTGACGACCGAAAACGGTGTTAAACTGCAAGTTGGGGGGACTGCCGAATGTGCCAGTCTCGAACTCGGTCCATATCAGGGCGTTGTCCTGTCTTGGGAGTACGTCGCAAAGGAACTTTAGTTCCGCGAAGTCCCACGAAGATCTACGAAGTTCAATACGACAGAATGCATAATGTGTGTTTACCAGAGGACAACTGTATCCCTCCATATGCATTCATGATTATATCATATTAGCAATATTCAGAGCAATATGCAATATATGTAAACAGATTGACAAACAGTATTTTAAGGTATTTCTTTTCACACTATTTTACGAAGAACTATATACTTTGTTCACATTGCAATAAATCCTGAGATTAAAACGTTTCAACATTTTAACACAAGGCTACACATGAAGCTAAATACTTTAAATAGACGAAGTAATGAGATTATACCTATATTTTTGACTGAATTTAAAAGCCTTCCCGAAAGAAAGATAAAGGTTCCTGTTTCACTTCAGTTGTCTAAGCATTACACTGTTAAAAACGTTGCACTTCGAAATTTATAGGAAATTAGATATTCTTGTCTCGAGCGAAATCCTTTGATATGATGATATTAATGGCTATTTGATAAAACTGTACAATTATATTTTGGTAAATAAAGAATGGCATTTTGACACAGAATACAAACTTTGTTTTATTATAGTCTTAAAAAAAATGTCATCGGCGTTTGGATCCTAAGACTGTTACATGTAACACCTTGGGGTTTTTCGAGAAATGTCCAATTTATCTATTTTTATTCTATCACATTGGGGGCGGTGGGGTAGCCTAATGGTTACAGAGTCCGCTCGTCACGCCGAAGACCGGGGTTCGATTCGCCACATAGGTACAATGTGTGAAGCCGATGTCTGGTGTCCCTCGCGTTGATAATTGCTGGAATATTGCTAAAAGCGGCGTAAAACAACTCACTCACTCAACCCTGTCACATTGTCGTGATTATGATCCTCAGCGATATTAACAACGACAATACCAACTGTCATTTCTGAACTGACAAAAACAAAACGAAACAGATGAAATAAGAAACTTTTATCGCAAAAGATTAACAGATACCTTTCAAGTGTGTAAAAGTCCTGTACAAACAAAATGAAAAACATCATTCACTTCAGCACATAAGCATCAATAGAACACTTAAAACACTCAGGACATGAATGAACACTCTGAGCATGAGGCTACATGAGTACTACTCGTTGTGTTTATCGTCATAGGAAAGCTCATTTTCACGGATGACAGTGCGAATATGGCCATATAGTATAAGGATATATGTACAAGTACGCGAAACATTGATTACTTCAAGGCAAAAACGTTCATATATGTAATGATAGTCGGATTGGAACTGTACATAGCTTTATCGGAAAGTTAACGAATGTTAAATTCAACGCCATAAATATAGTATATGTATAGTATTTGGTTAGTATTTCAAATTCAACGTCTATGTATACGGGAATTAAAGTTACTTTAAATAAATTCAAAATAAGCATTATATGAACACTATATAACGCAATTTGAACAAGATTTTGCAAATGCTGTTGCGGCAAATGCAAATATATGCAAATTAGGACATAGATAAGCGTATGTATGCACCACGAGAATTGTCTTGTATAACATGCATGATTGTACAAATTTATGTATTTTGCAGGTAAACTGACGGGCAAAAGAAAGTATACACCCATGTTTGATTGTTCGATGGTAGCCAAGAATATGAAACAAACAACTGATATTCAATGTTGATTTTTATATACCGGCATCATGGTTGTTTTACTCTCCTCGAGTGCCATTTAGAAGTTGGTATGGTGGACAGGAACGATTTTGTATCACATGCTTGATAACGGTGTTGGCATCTACACCGAACGTCTACACCGCTGCAATAAATGAGTTATCTATCTATAACAAGCCGTTCCTGTTCATCATACTTGTGTGGTACACCTTGCAGTTTAACGGTGACTGAATTTTGTTTGTAACGCTGTGATATCGTTTGTTAAATTTTTAGTTAAATGTAGTTTGAAGTATATACTTTCTTTTGCTGGTAGAAATACTGATTTGTCGGCAACTACAAAGACACGGCTTGTTTCGAAATGACCAACAAAGTGTTCACAGGTCATTGCCTGTTACCCTTTTTTCTAAGATATAAATATCCCCCAGTGGGTTTTCAAACGAGAGCGGAGATTCACACATCACGTATATATATTCGAACTTAAGAAATTAAAAATACAATCAAATCCGAAACCTGTATATACTGAAACCTCATTAACCCGAACGCTGCGTTATATGGAAGCCGCGTTAATTTGATCCCTGTATATATGGAAACCTCGTTAACCTGAACCCTGTTATATGGAACCTTTTTTTTTCTGAATCCTGTATATATGGAAGCCTCATTAATCTGAACCCTGTTCTATGGAACCTTGTTTTTTCTGAATCATGTATATATGGAAACTTCGTTAATCTGAACCCCGCATTATTAGCCGTACGAGGTCTGTTCTGGACAGCAGTATACACAAAAGGATACACCTCAATACCAGCGATTGGTTAATTTTGAAATCAAGTTTACTTCACTCGAAACGAGGTTTTCCAGGTTACTAGATTATAACAAAAACAACTGTAAGAGAATAACAATTTTTAATCCTGCCATTATGGCATTTCTGAAATTAAGTTTATGTTATAAGTTGGAATACATTTTTTCGAAACAAAGAGGAACACCCTCAACTTGTCTACTTTTTAAAATAAATAATACTTCCCAAATCCCCAAACTGGGTATGTCACTTTTTCAGGATTGAAGATATTTAGCAAACTCGTCGCTTTGAACTGAAACACCTAAACTAATGCCAACATACGCTAAATCCGTCTAAAAGTGTCGCTGACAGACCTAAGAGAAATCAAATAAGTACATGCGCAAAAAGGAACCATGCCGGCACACTGGAACGTTTAAACCTTACAGAGTTACATCCCTTGAACTGACAACGGCTCAGCAGTTTTCAGCATGAAGGTAGATGCGTATATGGCGACCATTCGACACAGCCTTGAAAATAAATATATTTTAAAATAGATCACAGTTTAAGTACACAGGTACACAAATACATTGTTGGTTATGTTGAAAGTTTTCATGGTGTAATATAATTTATATGAAAACACGCTCTGACACGCGCGAAGCAAGCCATTGTTTCGTGTAAGCCCGATAGGTTACAAAGCTTCATATTTAGATAGTATTGCGGGCTTGCCCAGCCTTTTTAGAAACAACCATGTGTAAACCCGGGCTTTTGTTTATTATGGTGGCTACGCGACTGTCTGTGATAGAATACAAGAGCTTGCTGATTATCGATATATGAGTATTATGAGAAATGAAATGATGAGAGGGTGTATTTTTAATTTATTTTTCTGTCCCCAAAATAATTCCCTGCACACGAAGGTTATACCACATAATACCGAGTTCGAAATTTATTTCTACTTTACCATAAATTTTTTTGTGATGTAGCCAGAAAAAATGTTTAGCCCTTCAGTTCATTTGATTCAACTGTTACGTCAGATATAAATACTTCGTGTTCCTTTTAATCGAGGACATACCCTGCCACGATGTGTGGCAGATAATCGAAAAAGAAATAACAAGCTTGAGTTCACAAATACGTCTGACACAAGAAATACACGTCATTTTAACTTATACGATTTACCGAAAACTGTTTTCCAGGTTATTATGCGTTAATTTACCACTATCCAATAAAAATATATTACCAATATTTGTAATTAATAATCAGTTCAATGTCTGATGTTACCATAGTACTCATGTTACATATATGTTTGAGAAGTGGTTAAGTCTGTTAGGTTCATTGAGTGAGTGAGTGGGGAGTTTAGTTTTACGCCACACTCTGCAATATTCCAGCTATATGGCGGCGATCTGTAATTAATCGAATCTGGACCAGACAATCCAGTGATCAACACCATGAGCATCGATCTACGCAATTGGGAACCGATGACATATGTCAACCAAGTCAGCGAGCCTGACCACCCAATCCTGTTAGTCGCCTTTTACGACAAGCATGGCTTACTGAAGATCAATTCTAACCCGGATATTCACGGGTCAGGTTCATTGAGGGATGCATTAAAAATAATTAGATGTGCATAGTAAATGCAATTGACAGCTCAACAGCAGTTTCTGCTCCACATCAATTACAGCTTGCCAAAAACAAAATAAAAACTGCAAATAAAAACTGCAAATTAATGGCTGCGTTACAACTGCGTGTTTGGCAAACGTTGTAATGAACAAAATCAATATCTCAAGACAATGTCCATCTGCCTACAAATGATACAGCGCAAAGGCATCCGTTGCCAGGGTAACCAAGGTCTTGCATGTTTGTGGACTCAGCAATATTTACAGCTAAATGGTGGCGGTCGGTAAATGATAGAGTTTGGACCAGACAACCCAGTGATCAGCGTCAGACATGACCAAGGTAACCGCAGTGATAATGAGATGAGGATTGATGCTGACATAATGTCTATCATCTTATGTATGTATCTATTTTACCCTTTTCGTGAACACCCGGTGTCATTATTCATTTTCAGTGGTCCATTCATACCATTTTCACAGTTATTTTGCCCTTTACAGTAAAGTCAATGTAAGTTATGGCTAAGCATTACCTTTGCATTGACGTTTTATACTCAAGACCGATGCCAGTGAAGCTCTCATAAAATCAGTTTCATCACCCATAAACCGTCTGTCCTTTGATCGACATTGTTGGTGATAAAGTTGTATTTCTAAGTCCTAATGTCTGCAAGACTGATCATTCGAGCTGTGAAATCCGCTACGTATCGACATGCCACTCCAGTGAACACGGGGTGTCAATGTGAATATATGATTAAAATGGTTGAGAAAACAGTTAAGCAATATCACCACTCCACCTTTCAAACATATTTGACAGGAGACATATCACATGTCTAGCTACGAATGAAAAAGAAGGCCTGAGATAGCTGTGACGTTGTACAGCTTTTACATATCAATGCTTGTGCAAGGTCAAACACCATCATCGGCTCTCCGAGAGCCTTGTCTGATTAATGACAGGCAGGTAAATCAAACACATGTTTGACAATGAAATAATGACGTAATGATATTGACAATATGTTCTTTCAAGCCATACCGACTATTTGCTATGATTTGGTATATGCTATGTTGAACATTTTAGTATCTACATGTAGAGTTATTTAACAAACACATATATATGTATATGCTTTGATAGAAAGGCATGATAGTATTCACATAACACACATCCATACTTTTGAAAAAGAAATATGTATATTCAATACAGTCGAACTCCCTTGTCTCGAACATCTAGAGTTCGAGACAACCGGTATATTCGACACATCCGGGTTAAATTAGTAACAATTTTTGTAAGTTTGTCGGGACCAGGCTCTTAGTTCGAGACAATCGGTATATTCGACACATCCGGGATAAAATAGTAACAATATTTGTAAGTTTGTCGGGACCAGGCTCTTAGTTCAAGACAGCCGGAGATTCGACACATCCGAGACAACGAGGTTCGACCACGTGTCTATTTGAAACAAACCAATGACCTCACAGTCATCGTCAACAATAATCAGAACAAACTTGTATGGCACATTCTTCAGTATAATGTCTATACACAGCTAGTATTCCACTACTCTAAGCAACACTACTCTACTTTAACAAGCATTAAATAGAAATAGCATAGTATACTAATGTATTCAAAGGTTTGTAATCCTCAACATTGTACCTATAAATGCACATTTCATGCCGGTCGTCAAAGTTTGACTGGGTCACAACGACTCGGCCCAGGGGAGAGAACGTAACACATTTTGGTGACGAAAGTCCGTCTTTTGGAGTGAATATCTCCCATAGCCGTCCATTCTTGGTCAGGATGTACACTGTACTGTTGCATATGACAATAGTATTTCCATCGGTGTCTGTGCATAGGCCTTGAAGTGACACAAACGTTTCTTCCGCCGGTAACCGGAACTCGTTCAGAGAAAACGTGCGCAGCAGTTTCCCTTCGAAATGGAAGATTTTAATTGCGCTGTTACCAGCATCGGAGACGATTATCTGTTTGTTTTTGTTCACAGCAACGAAATAAGGATGGTCGAATTCTCTGACATGGTCGCCATAGCAACCGAACGTATGGCTAACACCCCCACTTGGGTAGAGGACGACGACACAGTGTTTACATATATCCGTCACTATCATGTAGTTGTCGGGGCTGATGGCTATTCCGTAGGGAAACTCGAACACATCGTTCCCCCCGAACTTTTCTTTGAATACCCCAGTCACCGAGAAAACCTTGACACACGCGTTAACACTGTCAGTCAATGCTATGCACTCATCCGTCGTCATGGCAATGCACATTGGGTAACTCATTTGTTCTGGTTTGCTTCCCTTAACTCCGAATTTATACTTGAACACGCCCTCCGGGGAGAAGATCTGTATCCGGTGATTCTCTGTGTCGGCCACCACGATGTCGCCTGAAAAACAAAACGCAGTCAGAATTAATAATGTCGTTTTGCCAAGAACATGAAGCATTCACAATGATTGTAGCCTGGTCGTTTATTAAGTTAAGATGCAGACGCAGAAGAATAATCTGAAAAAGACTGAATGAGTGATTGTAGTTTAACGCCGCCCTCAGCAATATTCCAGCTATATGGCGAAGTAGAAGAAGACGAAGAGTGAGTTTAGTTTTACGCAGCTTTTAGCAACATTCCAGCAATATCACGGCGGGGGACACCAGGAATGGGCTTCACACATTGTACCCATGTGGGGAATTGAAACCGGGCCTTCGGCGTGACGCTTTAATCACCAGGTTACCCCACCGCCCCAGAAGAAGAAGAAGAAGAAGAAGAAGAAGAAGAAGAAGAAGAAGATGATGATGATGATGATGATGATGATGATGATGATGATGATGATGATGATGATGAGGAGGAGGAGGAGGAGGAGGAGGAGGAGGAGGAGGAGGAGGAGGATGCAAGAACATTTAGCAAGAACATTTAATGTAGCCGACTTTGCCATCGGGATGAATTATTTGAGTGAGCTGTTTTAGGTTGGTAAGTAGTGCTGGGTGGGTCGACAGAGACTGGCTTTGTTGGTGTAGGCGGATGATGTTTGTTTAGGGAGGCATGTGTGACTGACCTTATTCACAGTTAGTGAGTGAGTGAGCTGGGGTTTACGCTGCTTTTAGCAATATTCCAGCAATATGACGGCGGGGGACACCAGAAATAGGCTCCATTCCACCCATGAGGGGACTCGAACCCGGGTGTTCGGCGTGACCAGTAAACCAGTAAACCACAAGCCTACCCTCATCGTCCATATACACAATACGTCCTCTGCGGAGAATAACCACCTTAATCATTTTTATTTATATGTGTACACCACTACCTCAAATACCAGTTAAATGAAGAATAAATAAATAATCTAATTATTATTTAAAATTATCCGTAAACAATCGAACCTAAGGTGGGTGAGGTGAGGTGAAAGGGGGTTTAACGTCGTACTTGAGAATAGTTCGCTCATATGCCGACGTGCATGGGTGTGTATATGTGGCTGCTTGTACAAGCCATGATTTTGGTATGACGCGGTCGGGGATCGAACCCGTTCTGCAGTGAAAACGCTACCACTATGGTCCGAATTGCACTTTCGTCTAAACAAAAGCATGTAAATCGACCATAGCCCGATATCCCCTCAGAAACACCTTCGTGTTGTATTTACGAACTCAGCTTCACGGTAATAACATTTGATACTAACTGTTAGCCAAAAACGTACCGAACATTTAAATCTGTAGATTTTATTCAACTTATGAAATTTAAATCTTGTTTTTATTCACAAAAAAAGTTGGTTAACAAACGATCATAGTTTCAAATCGCTTATATTGGTTTGTATTACAAGGGGGTAAGCGCAGGAGTTGGAACAGTGAAACAAATGCACGTGCGGTACGTGATGAGCGTTAACTTAGACCAACCCTACTTGATCTCGGTGTTTCATTTTATGTGCATACCCCTTGTAATACAAACCAATAATACCGATTTGAAACTATGATCGTTTGTTAAACAACTTTCATCCCAAGTTGAATAAAATTCTGAGATTTAAATTTTCAAATGGCAAGGTAAAATTATGAGGATTCGCAATCTTAATTTCACTTTATTTGATTTACTTTTTTGTTTAAAGTGAAATTCATCGGTACGTTTTCACCGCAAACAGACTATAGTTGACTTGGTAGTAGTGTTGTATTGTTTGTTGACGACATGAACCTTGCTGGAGTGTTAAACTGAATGAATGGCGAGTTTGATGGAGGCTTCACTGTAAAACACATACACACGAAACAGCTGAACGCCACTCCTTATCTTAGCTGAGTGAGTGAGTGAGTGAGTGAGGTTTTCGCCGCACTCTGTAAATATTCGAGTCTGGACCAGACAATCCAGTGCATGTGCACTCAACAGCATGTGCATCGATCTACGCAATTGGGATACGAAGTCAGCGAGCCTGACCCCGGCCCCCGATCCCGTTAGTCACCTCTTACGTCAAGCATGGGTTGCTGAAGATCAATTCTAACTCGGTTTGGCTTAAAAACTCAACGTTCCTCCAGAATGTCTCAAGGATTGAGTTAAATCATATTTCAGTTTCCACAGACACAAGTGCTTGGTCTGAACAACATGCAGAATACGATTTAAAGACCTTGTTCTTTAACATGGAAACATATAGTTTGTGCTACTTAATTATTTTCCGGGTGGAAAAACAAACAATTATGACGTGTCATGGTACGCCGAATAATGAGGAATCACCTACTCTGAAAAGGTGGAGTGGGTTTGTCTAATTAAAGATTGATTACGGATCAAACGTATACTCGTTGACTTGACGGTGGATCACGTGACCCCACTCTGCGATGCATGAAGCGCTTTATGGTGATTGCGTGTGTTGTGGACCTTGAGTGTCAACCGGTACGTATATAATCCCCACAGTGACAGTTCACTTATATCACAAACACAGAAGATTTTGGGAATCAGTAAATACTGTTTTACATGGCGAGGACATGGTACCACAAGAGGCCGTGAATCAACATTTCACTAACGGCACGTGCTTGTAATTTCATACAGAGTTACGCCCCTTTGGCAAATTGACGCATACCTGTTGGTCAATGTGGTTGTAATTTGTTTAAATGTTTACAGGGTCTTTCCCCCAGCCTGGATGACCACATGGACACATGTCATAATTACACCGTCTTTTTGCACACTTGATAAAAAGTATCTCGTAAAACAGTAAATGTATGGGGTAAAAATTTCACAACCTATTCCACACTTATCTTCAGTTACCAAAAGGCATATTTACCCATTAGCGAGTGAAAAACAATAAAATTGAAACTGTAATGAAACCATCATATATAAATTGGAAAACGTACAACACCGTAAGACTGTGGGCGAAGTTTTCCGAGCGAACTTCTTAGACAAGCCAGTCAATTAAATACGTTCATGTACCAAGCAATAGGCATTAATTAGATGTTAGATACTGACCATTTCTTTTACGTGTTACGTGTTATGTTACAATGGCAAGGTCATTGTGAAAGGGGCGCATGTAAAGGCACTATTTCACACCACACTTCTCTAAAAATACATAATGCATTTCTCTCAATAATACTAACTATCAGCCCTCAGGGAAGCTACCATATAATTAATTTTTTTTTTAAATGCGTTTTTAGATTACAATATTAAATTAAAAAGTTCGAACGGATTAATGCAACGTTGCACTAAATCGACTCTCTCGTCCGAACCATTCGTAACTACTCGTCTCTTTCCGTGACCTACAAGAAGACTCGTACCCCTATCGTACGCCATTATTGCCAAGAATCGTGGCAAACCAATCAAATCGCGCGTAGTAAAATGCATTTCGAAGCATGAAATTGGCGGCACCGTTGAAGCTAGAAACTTCGCTAAACTATGCATAGCACAATTTAAACATAAACTTTTGAGCTAAGGGACCGTTCATAATTTATGGCTAGGGGGGCGATGATGATTTTTATGGAGAAGCATATACAATGTGCATGACCCCCCAAACTTTATGTACAAAATAAGTGACCCCCCCTGCATGTCATGTACAAAATCAATGACCCCCCTCCCCTTCCCATAATTTTAAAGCTATAATTTTAAACATATTTTTATGTACAAAATTGCTGAACCACCCCACCCCACCCCTAGTACGTGTGTACAAAATTGCTGACTCCGCCTAGTTCACGAGAACAAAATGGGTGACCCCCTTAAAATCATCATCAATCATCATCAACCCCTAGCCATAAATTATGAACGGTCCCTAAAGGATCAGAAACTATAAACACTGAAACATATGTACAAAGGGAATGACTGTATTGCCTTTTTGCCCACGGGATATAGGATATTCTAGGAGCCATATTTGGAAATTCAGAGTTATCTCTCCTTGGCAATAGTACTAGACTATTTTCATCTTCATGCCCGTTTGCGCTTAGACTGGGCCCAGTCGTAAACATGACCACGAGAGGGGTACGAGACGCCATCCGGCTTGCCGGAATGACAAGAGTAATTACGAATGTCGTCCGAACATTATTTCAAGCGAACCCCACAGAGTTATGTCCCTTGGAGCACTCTTACTACTATCCAAGGCACAACTTGTGATTGAAACCAGTTCGGCAAACACGGACAACACCGCGTGCGACAGTTTTCGATGTACGGAGCAATTGTTTAAATTCCCTGTATGGCAAGTGTTATCTGCTTGAAATCTGTTCCCCTCGAAGTTTCAGTTATCGATTTCAGGCAATTCGTAAGGAATAATAAGTCTTTTATTGCATCAATAGGGAGCTAAAGTGAGTGCATATGCCCCAGTGTATATAATATAGCCCAAAATTTTGTCGAAAATATGACATAGCGCCTTTAAGGGTTGTAAGAATATGACGCAGAATTTGAATGAACGAAGTCTGTTGTTTAAAGCCGCACATAGTAATATTCCAGCGGTCCGTAATATTCGTGTCTGGACCAGACAAACCAGTGATTAACATCATGAGGATTGATCTACGAAACTGGGATTCGGTAACCTGTGCCAACCAAGTCAGTTAGCCTTGCATGATGCATGACATCTTTTCCCAAATGCGTAGATCGATGCTCATGATGTCACTCACTAGGTTGTCATATATTTGAGTTCGGCGTTAAGCAACAAACAAAACATATCCAATTGGGTCATCCCGACCAAGAACGGTCCTTGGGCTGGACAAATGACCCAGGACTTACCAGCCTTGGTGACCGCCACTCCGCACGGCATGTTGAAATTCCCCTTTCCTTTCCCTTTCCTGCCGACTTTCCGAACCAGCTTACTCTGGTCCAGTTCGGCTTTTGTGCTCGCCTGCTCCGTCCTGAAGAGACGCTTGAGTACGTACATGGCCCTGACGATGATGAGGCTCACGCAGGACATTGCATTCTGGGCTCCGGAACACCGGGTATCGAGGGGGCTGGATTTCAATATCTGATGTCTGGTAGAATCACTGCAAGATCGCGCCTCACATTGCTGAAATACAAAAAGATGGAATATTTAGATCAAAACACAAACGACTCGAACAGGTCAGAATCGGATTCGAACACACAGTCTGTGTCTTCAGTGAGTGAGTGAGTTTGGTTCTACGAGGCTTTTAGCAATATTCCAAAAATAGCACGGCGGTGGACACCAGCAATGGTTTTCACATATTGTACCCTGCGTCTTCAGAGAAACAGCACATTGGTATCTTTCACGGAAGTGACGCACAAAAGCGTGAGACATGCCAAGTCTCGATGTTAACGAGATGTCTTATGCATGGATTACTTCCGTACGACCTTGGGATGATTGACGTCATGAAGCGCCGAGCCGACGTAACACTGGAGTACAAATGCCTAATTATACTTGGACACATTACGTTATCAGTGTAAGCGTCTACATCTGACAAGTAGAGATAGTACCGGATAGGGGGATAGAAGGTGAAGTGACACTGCCACACGGAACCCACTGACAGACCGGAACCTGCTGCAATGTACAGATGTCCACGAAGTATAGACTCTTGTCTACGTCAGGCTTATCAGTCGTGAAAAGTAATATTTTGCAAAATTCATTTTCTTGATCCCTTCTTGTTGGAGTTGGGTTTGCCGCTTCAGAAAGTATTTCAGTTACATCAGAGCATGTTAGCTTACTGTAAGAAGGAACCCCCAAAGTGACGCAAGTCGTCCGTGTTTACCATTTTGGTGACACTGATAAGCACCGGTATGACACTGATAGTGGTGTTCCGAAAAATTGAAATAATCGAAGATTGGTCGAAGTGACCAAACGACCAAGCAATCGATCACATTTTCTCATAATCGAACACATACGATTTTGGAACTGCTGTTTTATTATTTGAAACACTTGACGATGGAACATACCATAAAAGTTGTCAGGGCCTGAAAACTTGTTTTATTCTTAGAAAACTCACTTCACTAGAAGACTCCAGGAAGTTTATGTTCATGATATATTAGTCATCACTTTAGATTATCAAGCTGCATCATGTTAAACATATATCTGCAATAGCAACCAGGATAGGAAAATCTGAAAAATGACGCTGACCAAATTTTTTCGATGATTGTTCGTTGGTAATCAAGCAATTATCAATTGTGAGATTTCAACCACTTCCTAACACTATGACAGGGACTATTTTGGAGTTTTGTATGCCACTCCTGTATAAAGCAATCTTTGCTTCTTCTTACAAGTAAATTTAAGAAATGATGTTTATTTCCAACTCGCTGCCATATCCACGCAGACCCTGTCATGGTCCCAGTTATGTCATTGGAAGGGAAAGACCAGGGCGATGACGTTCGGAAATGCCGAGAACCTTCGTGACCCGAGAGAGTTAATGGTTATGGAAACAAACGGCCTTAAGCAGGACAAGGGTAAAAGAATTAGCATCAGTTGATGTATTGGAACAGGACAACAGAAGAAATAACCCCACAGTCAGAGAAACAATAAAGGCTATATTGGTTAAAAGTAGGTAGTGACATATTGGTTGGCTTCAGGATATACGAGTCGTTGAGAAAAAAATGAGAAATTGTGAAATCGATTTAACAGAAGCTTAGCAAGGAATGTGGGTCAGGGTGATGTCGGTTGTTCAGGCTGGTAGTCATGTTTGGGTTCAGGAAGATCCTCTTAAAGTGACAGCCAAGTAGGCATTCTACAAACCCATATTAACGTGCCAGATGCCACGCTAATATAATGCAGAGTTGGTAGCTTATGAAGTAGATACAAATACACCACAGTAGGGCAATGTGCACGTGGGTTGGGCAGGACACATGGGTTGGTAGAGCAGAATCCGGTTTCGCATTACTTTTCATAACTACACATCTGACTTCTGTGTGGTGAGATGGGCGGCACCTTTCGATATTATTTCATACATTTCACAATACGTCCAATATTACAAGAATACTAACAAAAGGGACAGCTATATTTAAAATGAACAATTGCCATGAAAACACTATTTCAAAATATAAACACCCATTAACAGAACAAATATGAGATCTACATACAAACGAATACCATGTCTCAACTGTCCTCTGAAATAGATTCCATGTGGTGTAAAAGGTAATCAAAATCACAGCATATGTACTAAGATATAGCATTATTTTATGAAAGGATCAAAATAACATGATATAAAAGAAATCCACAAAAGACAAAACAGATTATTCACAAAATTGTCCACTTATTTGAGATTATTTGCTCTTATGTTCTTTTCCAGACGAAAGGAGCTTTGACAGGCTTAAATGCAATAACTGGGAGCTGCATCCCAGGAAACCGTCTTTGGCATCCATAGCTTGACCATGGCTGCATCTAAATTCCTTTCTGTATTTCATGTATTGATCCACGTGACACATCAAGATGTAGGTTGTCCCAAGTAGATTAGACGTTCCTCAAAGGTTTCATTTACTGAAGCCAAACACTTCAAACACCGTTGCTTGATTAAAGCCAGAGGATGCAATCTAGAAGAACCGCTAAAAGGATGTTGCCAACATCTCCATCCAAATCTTAATTGATGTCAGCCGGTTTAAATGGGAGGAATTGTTGATCTCATGACGAGGTCATTTCTAATTTGTCATCTAATCCAAGGTGTGGCCATGGCTCCTGATTCCCCAATCATCCTGATGATATCTACAGTTCTCATCTCTTCCTGGAAAGGCGCCGGAATTGGGATCGATACCAAAGTCTTGGAACATAGCGTTATCGGTCTGTTCTCATACATAGTTAAGCATCCCGACTCCTACACACAAATCTAGGGGCAACATTTCTGACATCCCTGAATGACCCAGATGGATGTGTGGGGCCTCAGTCCTGATCAAGATGTCACAAAGCCAGCATAACGAGATTTGAACGTGACCGGAACAAATGGTTTGTCACAGAACCATTTGGGCATACAAGGACATATAGACATTGTGGCGATGCGGCTTGGACCTTTGAAGAGTATTTGACATTAACGAGAAGATCACGCGGCCATTTTCTCCCCAGTGGTCTTAATTAAATCTACGTAGATTGTAAGTGGAATTAGCCCTTTTTCTAATGGTGTGAATGGACTAGGTAACCTTTGACCGTCATCACGTCTCTGCCACCTGATGCAACTACCCATAAAATCAATCACCACATATGTCAATCACACTGTTTACATTTATTAGCTCAAATGGATGACTTATTGATTAGCTAATCTGATGGGATTAAACACTACTTTGTCCCGTCTGCTAACCTTTCACTCAGTGCCCCGGGCACATCGACGTTGTGTGTGCCATGGGCACGGCGTCAAGTAGGATGAACGTTGATTTACCTAAGACTTATGTCTAGCTGCCTGTGTCTACACCACGGGAGTAAAACAACGTCTTTTCTTTATAGGAATTTGAATAAAATATTCACTGAGCAAAATTTTAACTGAGCAAAATTTCAACAAAGGGCAACGTAAGGCATGCAGCTATATGAGACACCAGCAAATAAACCAGTGTGAGTGAGTGAGTTGGGTTTTACGCCGCTTTTAGCAATATTCCAGCAAAGTCACGGCGGGGGACACCAGAAATGGGCTTAACACATTGGGGAATCGAACCTGGGCCTTCGGCGTGACGAGCGAAAGCTTTAACCACTACGCTACCCGCCGCCCCCGTAAATAAACGAGAACAGATAAGCCGAATATACTAGCAACGTGTAAATAACGAGCAATATGAACAGAATGGGTGAGTGAGCAAATATTTGACACTATCAAAGTCATATGGCTAGATTATTACTTGACTGTATTCGGCTTGATTATTCTCGCTTATTTACAGCCGGTGACATACAGCTGGGTTATTACTGTCACCGCCTGTAAATAAACGAGAATGTACACGCCGAATAAACAAAAATATGTTAAACGTGAGGAAGCGGGCGAATACTGGACGGAGTCATGTTCCATCTATATCAAAGCGGCCAGTAAATAATTGAGTCTGCACCAGACCCAGTGAAAGCATGATGATCGATCCACTCGATTTGGGCTCGATGACTCGCAATCAGCCGAGTGACCAAACCTCTTAAGTTGCTGTTGCGGCAAGCATGTTGGGAAATTGTTGATCCTCGGAAAATCCACAGGGTACAGTGAGAAGCATGGTTGTTGTACAAAGGCATTAGCACAATCTGGACCTTATTTCAAAGAAATTATATAGGACAGATCACAGTTCCATGCGCAATGAGAGCCAGTAGGCCTATATCACTGCATACGAGACACAACTATGACTTTAATCAGAAGATTTACACCTATAGTCCTTTTCACAATATAAACCATTCAGACGTGGCTAGAGATCAGTCCATCAGCATTATTGTTTCAACTATAAAACTTTCTAAAACGTTTGAATCCGTAAACTTTAAACTGAATTCGTATCTTTTTTCGAGAAGGATACCACTTGTATGAGGCAGTCACTTGGGTGAGGAAACTTTGCAACTACTACTTGTACTATAAATTCATCATCATCAGCAGCATCAGCATCAGCATAAAAAAACATCAACATTATCATCATCGTCATCTTCATCCTTATTGCAAACAAGTATGACATCATGACTGCCCGTAAAATAACTAATACATATTCAAATTAAACGAAATTTTACCAGAATATGCAAAATAACGCAGCAGCAGCAAATGATAGCCCACTGACTTCGTTTCTTCTATTACTCGATCTCTCTGATCCAGAGAGTTTTTTTTCTTACTTTAAAGACTCATATCAACGAAATGGAGCCTGGAAGAAATGTACTGCATTTGATTGGTGCAATTGGCACCTGTTTGTGTATTGTTCGCAGGGAACATCAGGTAAATTTCAAACTGGAACCAGCTTTTATAGCTTAAAAATAAGTTAAATGATGCCATGATGTTTGGGTTCAACGGTCAATACTGAACTCACGCTATGCTGATGTGTGAACCACCTGCCACGCTGACCCAAGCACATAACAGATTCAGTGTAGACACGTGGTAAACATTGGCAAGAGGGTAAACCAATCGACGTTCATAGCCGAAA